GAGTAATGTACACTGTCACCCTATTCTAGAAAAGATCTTGGACTCAAAACAGAGCTATCAGCACTGGGTATATTTATAAACTGTTTAGTGTAAATCAATGGCTAAGCTTGGATTTCACTAACTCTTAGACGTCAAATGCAGTAAAGTATTTCTTGGTCTGTGACTTGTGAGGAAAGCAGCATGGCTAAAAGGTGGTCCCTTCCCCATGTATCACGCAATTCCTGTCTTTAGAGAAATAAGACAATAAAACAACTCCATCAGAAGGACATTACCAAGAGTCGGGAAGGTAGTGGGGAGGGAGCGTTCACTGGAAAGCAAAAGTGGATGCTGCCACAAAGTCACTCTCTCTCTCTTCTTAGTTTGTTTCTTCATTCGCCAAGTAAGGAAGATGCTGTTTCCCTCTGATTCTCTAAGACTTTCAAGACTCTAAGCTTTTCCTAGGTGACACTGAAGAAAAGTAAAGAATGTCAAAGAACTCCGTATTTGCTTTCACTTTTTCAATCCATATCCTTTGTGAGACCGCAATGCTACTTTGGGATACTGCATGGTGTAGGGAAAGCTGCCAGCATCCAGAAAGCAACCAGATTCTAGACATTCTGAATGACCCCACATTAACTTTGGATCTTGTGAAAAATCATTCACCTTGAAATTCTAATAAATCATCAACCACCAGCACTTAGCATCTGTAAGCATTGATCTTTATGTACTTTCAGGACTGCCCTGAATCACTTGTTACCCATCCAGAGGCATGCACATCCAGTCCTGCAGAGACCCCTCCTAGAAAGAAAAGAGACAGCCTCCAACTCCAGAGAGCTCTGATGCTTTCAAAGGGGCAAAGGAAGCTACATGTACGGAGCAGACTCAGGGGCCCAGCACTACACTGGATGCTCCAACACATGATCGCATTTAACCCACTTGCCCAGTCAGCAGTTATTTCTCCATTCTCTTAAGGAGGAGACGTTTGGAGAGGTCAGGTTTAGTCACTTGTTCACCACGTGAGCCAAGGATTTAGCTCAGTGGTTCCACCATCTGCTTCGCAAGCAAGAGGTCCTGAGTTTGATCCCCGGTACAATAAAGGGGGGGGGTAAAAGGCATAAAGGAGAGGTTTTTGGTCTCATGAGAAGAAAAGTGACAAGTGCAGTGGTGACAATGGCATGGGGAGAAGTGGACTGCCCACAGCCACACAATCAGTAAGCCAACAGTGCTGAGATTGGACTGTGGCCTGACTTCAAAGCCCACATTTCTCTCTCCCTTGCCATTTATTTATTCATTTGGCAATTAGCTGATCATCTACTATGTGCCAAGTGCTAGGGACATAGCCATGAACAGACTGCTCTCCTGGAATTTACAGCCTAGACAGTAAACAAATGAGACTTCTAACAGTTGCGTACAATTACAAGTTGGGGTGAGGACTTTGAAGGATCAATTTTAATGTGGAAATTACATATAAAGCCACAGAGATCTTCCAGCTATTTGACAATCTGAAAAAGCCACTTGACTATTGCAAGTAAGTGAAAGACTTTAGGAAACACAGCCTGTCAGATTAGGATACTCAGTATCACATTGCTGGCCAGTTCCTGAGTCTGGAAACACACACATCTCAAACTTGGCAGAGCCCCTGCTGAAACACAAGTCTTTCCAAAGGTAACTACTGACGCCTGAATTTACTTTTACATACCCCAATCTCAGAAGAACATCACTTATGCAGACGTTTTACAGTTAGTTGGAATCTTTCCCACAGATTCATTCCTTTGAACCTCACAACTGCTCTTTGCAGAGCACAGGTAGCTTTTAATACCCTACTTAAGAAACGAGGAAACTGAGGCCTAGGCAGGTGAAGAGACTCAGTCAAGGTCACTGGACTGGGCAAACACCCAGACCAGCCATCTAACTCTCACTACAAGTGCCTCTGGCCAGGAAATCATGAATCTCAAACGAGACAGCTGCAGGTTACTGAGCCTGGATAAAGTCACCCAGGAGTCCCATGAAGTTTCTGAGAACAATGATCAGGGACATTAAGCAGCTTGGGAAAGGTTTCTAGGATGCAGCTCCACAGCCTGAGACACAGGTACCCTTGCCAGCTCTCCCAGATTAGAACAGGTTCTCTTGGACTCTTTCCAAGTGCCTCTGACTAACAGAGAAAAGTATTTTTCCACTGCAAACACTGCAGGCAGGCACCGGGCTCCTGAGAGGGGACAGCAGAGAACACATCCTAGGCTCCCATACAGACAATGGGTAAACAACTTCTGATACTATACGAAAGTGCAAGCAGTGCACCTACCACTGAGGATGCCAGTCTTGGCAGCAAACCTCAGCTGACTCCAGACACCTGGGGCTGGATAATGTTGGGGGTGGAGGTGCTGTAGGATGGTTAGCAGCATCCCTGGCCTCTCCCTACTAGGTACAGTAACACCCCCTAGGGTAAGAACCACAGATGTCTCTAGAACCTGCAAATATCCCCGAGGGGACAAAATCAGTTCTGGTTGAGAAACACTGGTCTAGAAACTATGGAAAAGCAGAAAAGCAAAGTGCTCTCCCTTTCACCCTACCCCATCCCATCTGTCTGGCCAGATGCACAGTTACAATGATTGATACCAATGTGATAATTTATATTTTAATCAATATCATACAAGTAATGCCTTCCAGATAAGACTGAGAGCCTCTGGGCTGCTGTAGCCTACAAGTACCATATATCCCAGAAACCATTCACCCCTGGAGCTGATGAAAACAACTACAGTCAAATAACTCCTTGTTCCACTAATGAGTTGCTTCCGACCCTGTGAGGAAATCTTGTTTCTGTTAAGCGAGCAGCTGAGTCTGATTAAATGGAAGCCCTGGGTGTTTCTTCTCAATGACATCAGGGCAGGGCCAGGGCTAGAAAGAACATAAAACTAGTGAATCAAATAGCAGGAGACTCCCATTTACCCACAATTCGGTAGAACCAGGAAGCTCAAACATCCCAGCTTTAACCATTCTGGACTTCAGGGAAAGGGGAAAGTGGAAATGTACATAAACAAGTGGTCTGAATTAACAAGTTAATTAAACAGCTGAAATGTTTCCAAAAAAACCATGCTTTTGAGTGGAGATGGAAACCTACAGCTGAGCTCCAAAGCAGCTGGAGTGACTCAGGCAGTGTCAGGGACATAGGTTCCAACCTCCCACCTGAGTGCTGGGCAACTGGCCCAGACATGAGAATCAGTATTGGTTACAATGCTTCAAAAAAGCAACAGCTTTTTATCTTTCATAACTAGTCAAAGAATTACTGACAGACTCAACCAAACTCACTAACATTTGGTAGTAAGTGTAGTTTACTACAATTCTCTGGAGACTGACTAACCATGAAACGCCTACCTACTGGCACCTAATTACTCAGACAACTGCTAGTTTTTATGCTACCTTTCATTTTGTAATTGGCTCTATTGTTCACAGCTGGGTGGATGGATGGATGGATGGATGGATGGGTAGAAAAGTTCTGTCTCTATTTTCTTAGTCTTAGGCCTATCATCACTTTCTAGTGAGAAGGGTAGTCCATATCTTGGCTCCTCCATTTCTCCAAGGCTTATCAGCACATTGCTCAATGATGCCCAATAAACACTAACTGATCTTGCTGGATTCCTGAATCCAAAGCCTTTAGTTCATGAACCAGTGAGTCTCAGAAATCCTACCTCTCTATCCTGCCTACATGCATTGGTTCGTCCCTTTTAACTACAAACAGTTTGAGACAGGAAAATTGGCATATTCTCTGAGAGACAATGAGACACAGAAACAAACAAGACCAATATGGTAGTTTCCCTCATAAAGCTTGTCTGGAGAAAAAAAAAACCAAAAAAACAAAACAGTCATCAACAACTATTCTCCGGGAATCATTTTAAGAAAAGTTCCTGCAGATGGGCACAATCTTCTAGAACATTTTATGTGAGTATCTTGGAGGAAAGACATTTTTTCCTCCAAATGAATGACAAACTTGCCTTATCCCATGCTCCAAAGCAGTGATGTAGCAATGATATTACACGTCTGTTATACAGGCCTCTGTTTCAGAATGATCATACAATTTTTTAAGAGACCAATTAAAAATAGCACACACTTGAGTGCTCACAAGTCTATGCTGGAATGTGCAAATATGCAGTGTATGTGGTTTACCAAAGATAGCTGAAGCTCATTGAAAACCTACAAAAGCCAGAAATTCCTGGAGCAACAGTCACCAGGTATCTGAGGTCTAGAGATAGGTGTGAAGCTGGCAAGCAGGATAAGAGCAAGGCCAGGGGACCCATGAGAACCCCTGGAGCTCAGAAGGCCTCAGCATGACAACAGACCTTAAGATTTACAAATTGGCTGCCTGAGGGACTCCTGTAAAGGAGCAGGAGCTCTGGACATCAGAGATGAAGAGGGGCCATGAACAAAACTGGAGAACAGGGATGTGAAGACTGGGAAAGAACTGTCCTAAGAGAATATGAGAAACAGATGAAGACTCAGGAAACATTAAGATGCTAAAAGCCACACAGCATGACATGGCAGCATCTGAGTGAACATGAGCGATCCGAATCACAGCACATCATCTATTAGAGCCAATAAAAATTTAAATCAGATTATCATGCCAACTATGATTCAAAATAATGCTCCTGCCCCAATTGTGAAATCTACCCTTAGCTTAACATTTTCCAATGCTTCTAATTTGGCCTCAAGTGGAAATGCAAATAGCCTCATCTCTTTGGCACAACAAGACAAGAACTCCCCAACAACCTAGACAAGTTTCTGGGTGATGGTGCATCACACTCCTTCTCAAAGCTTCCTGGCCTCTTAGGGCCAGAAGGAGTCAACTTCACCCAGCCTTGCCTTTCGGGAGCAAACATAACTGGCTAAGAGGAGAACTAGACCTTAGATCTTCTCCCTTCTAGGCCTCACAGCTTTTCATCAATAAAAATTATTAACTCCAAGGATTAAGAGGACAGCTATCTCCCCCATTGCTCTTATGAACCCCACATTCTCTGCTGTGCTCTCACCTGTTTGAGCAACCAGGTGGGTCCACCCACTCCAGGCAGCAGTGACCTTTTCACTCTGAAAACAATGTGCTTCTATTTTCTGGGGCACAGGAAGGAAAGCCGCCTGGGTAGCCAGTTGCCCATGCTTGTTACTGCCCCAAACATACAGCTCTCCTGCATCTTAAACAAACAGAAGGAAACAAGAGGTAAAGGAATATTAGTCCAAAGTGATTAAAAACATACAAGTCTGAAAAGAAGTGGTTAAAAGAAATTGTTTTATACTTATGGTACAATGTTTAGTGGGACCAAGCAGAACAAAAAAATCATGTATGACATAATAAAATATAAAACTTATCAAAATTCTAACCATAGGAAACAAGACCAAATTTTCTTAATAGTTTAAGGAATAAGAATTTGTGACATTTTGGCCGGGCATGGTGGCGCACGCCTGTAATCCCAGCACTCGGGAGGCTGAAGCAGAAGGATCGCTATGAGTTTGAGACCAGCCTGGACTACACAGTGAGTTTCAGGTCAGTCTCAACTACATAGTGAGACCCTGTCTCAAAAAACAAAAAAAAAAGGAATTTGTGACATTTTGGCCGGGCATGGTGACGCACGCCTGTAATCCCAGCACTCGGGAGGCTGAAGCAGAAGGATCGCTATGAGTTTGAGACCAGCCTGGACTACACAGTGAGTTTCAGGTCAGTCTCAACTACATAGTGAGACCCTGTCTCAAAAAACAAAAAAAAAAGGAATTTGTGACATTTTATCTCCCACATTTCTAAAATATATGCCTATGTTACAGTTTAGATTTAAAATGTCTTTTAATTTTGTCTCATGTGTGCAGAGGTGTGGCTTTTGCAAGGTGACTGGATCATGAGAGCTCTATCATCAGTGGATTCGTTCACTGACAGATTTATATTGCAGGACTAGAAGGAGATAAACACTCAGGAGGCATTGGGGTCTGACCTTCGGGACTACATTAGGTACACTTTTACCCTCTCCACTTCCTGGCTGCCATGAGGTGAGCAGCTTTCCTCCACCATGATGCTTCTGCCTTGGAGCCAGTCAACTACGAAACTTTGCAACTGTGAGCCAAAATAAATTACTGCTTCCTTTAAGTTGTCAGGTATTTTGTCCCAGCAACAAAACATTACCTTTTGTTAAGAAAAAATGTTTTGACATTTTAAAATAACAGTTAAAATATACACTGTTTTAGCTTAAACTTTTTAAACATAAGATAACTTCACAGTATGCCCAGACCAGCAGAAAGTATAATGCTACCATATCACAGCTGTGTAGTACTTTGGCTCATTTCAACCTCACAATAAGCCTATGATATAAGCAGAAATGACTGACACTGTGGTTTAATAGAAGAAGAAAAAAAGCAAATTCAGAGTCAAATGACTCTGGCTTCTATTCCTGGATCTGCTAACTAGCTATTGACCTTGGACAAATCACTTCCTCTCTAAGCTTCAGTTTCTCCAGCTGAGTTCTGCAAGGGAGGGCAGTTGATCTAGAAGGGCAGACAATAGGACTGATGACACTGGTGACAAGAGTAATTGGTGGGCTACTGCAGCACACATCTGTCTAAAAGGCATTCAAGGTCAAATATGTTTTTAGATGAGAGCCAAACAACATGAAGCCATAGCTATAATTTAGCTTGTGGGTCATCAGTTTGTAACCCCTCAGAATTGTTCATTAACCTTTCCAAATTCTAACATTCTAAAATTTTTCTGTACTGAACAACAGAGCAGCCACTAGCCACATGTGCCTACTGAACAGCTGAAGTATAGCTAGCCCAGAATGAGATGTGTTATAAGTGAAAATACAGAATGGATTGCAAAGGCAGTACAGTGAAAAAAAAGTGTAGCTTGTTAATGATTATATGTTGAAATATATTTTGGATATACTGAGTCAAGTCAAATATAATATTTAAATAATATTTTAAAATATTAAAAGTTGTCAAATTTAATTTTGACATGGAAGGATGCATGCTGCCATCAATTAACTTATGTTACATACACAGCTGAATTTCTTCATAAACATTTGTTTCTTTTTAGTTTCTTTTTTTGGCGGGGAGTACCAGGGTTCAAACTCAGGTCCTTGCACTTGTGAGGCAGGCAACAGAACTACTGGGCAAAATCCCCGGTCCCTCTTTTTAGTTTTTAAACTGTGCCTTCTATTTTATTTTTGTCAGATGACACTGCTCTAGAAGATAAATGAATCAAGGTTGGCAGATGTGAGGTGACATTTCAAGATCACATGGCTAAAAAAGGATTCATGGCTAACAGAGGGACTAGAAGCCAGGTCTTCTACTTCTACTACATTTTGTGCCCTCAAAATAAAACTTTACAGTACAGAAATAAAACTTCCCAGTACAGTACTGCTTACCCTAGGGCAATCTGGCGTATTCCCAAAAAACTGATCAAGAGCCAAATCAGTATCAGCAAAGGACCTCAGGCCAGGGTTCAAGAGTCCCATGTTCAAATCCCATCTGCTGCTCACCGTTTGACACTGGACACATCACTTCACATTCCAGGCCTCTGCCTCCCCAACTCCAAAAGGAGCAGTTACATCAGTGAAACTTCTCACCACCCAGACAACCCTGCAGCACTGACCTCCTGCAGTTCTACAAAGTGAATTTGGCACATTTCATTCCCAAGCGAAAGACAACCTTCCTGGAGTTTGTCAGGGTGTGCAAAATATAAAGACCCCTTAAAAGGAGGCAAAAAAGCCCCTCAGGAAAATATCAGTCCACTACGTGAACTGAAGAGCTACAAAGATGCTTTGATGAAAAAGCCTGTGCATGGAATATGCCCTCATTTATCTTAGAGCATCTAAACCATCATTTTGAAAGACAAACTGTCTTCCACATGAGGATCATTACACTGTTGCATCAGCATGTAAAATTAAATTCTGCTGCAATGCCAAATAGTTACATAATCTACAAGGACTCTAGAGAAAAGGTCTAAAGAGCACTGAGCAAAATCCAATGTGTTAACAGCTCAAAAAAGACAAGAAAAGAGAGCTATTAATCTTGACAATTTTTAAATCGCTTTCAAAATATCAAAAACCAATTCACATTATGAATATATTAAAAATGACTAAACGGACACCTTAAAATGATGAGTTTCATGAATTATATCTCAATGAAAAATCTGAAATCTATGTATTAAAAAGTAGCAGTCTACAAGTGCCTACCTATGAAACATAAATTTACCAACAAGGTTTTTTTTTTAAGAAACTGACATCAGTGGGCAATTAGGCAATTTCTAAATTTACATAATGTCAGCCATTTCCAACAAATTAGAACAAAGCAGAAAAACTGTCTCCAGTCCTGCTTCTGTCAAAGGAGAGGGGCAATCAGGTGCTCGGTGCCATCCCTTACAGCTGCAAACACATTTTTAACAAACATAATAACGCACCCATGTGAGACACAGGTTAAAAGTAGGTGTCCTTTTGTGAGCTGGTTGATTTAAATTCATTAAACAAATTATCTGTAGCTCAGAATTTATAAAGTATTCAAACTTTCACACTGTAGCTCTGGTGCTCTGGAAACAACAGCATCTCCATTGGACGGCACTGCAACTTTCACACAGAAGAATGCATGCTGCCATACACAGCTGAATTTCCTCATAATACGCTGAAAACACTAAGCATGAAGGTCCCTCCTCTTTGCTTAAAAAATGAAATACATCCAACTCTGTGAGAGACCTCACCAAAATAAATCGTAGGTGGTACAGACTCCAATCTACCCCTACCAGCAGGGATCACAACAATCTAGATCAAAAGAAAAGGATAACGGCTTTCAAGAAAATGCTGCACTGCCTCCTAAGGAAAAGTCACTAGAAAGTTTACACTGCACTAGCTGGGATGTCAATGGACAGATGGATGAAGGTCAGCCAGGAAATAGAAAAGAAAAACAAATTAGACAGAAAAATAGATGGAATGAAGACACAGAATAGAGAGGTGGATTACAGAAATTTATAAAAATATAAAACGGATTAGAGAAATATACAAAGGCTCAGATAGATACAGAAATAGATAAGACAGAAATGTGAAAGATAAATAAAGTAGAGAAATATATAGGTAAATGAAGTAGAGAAATAGAGAAGAGACAGATAAATCAATTAGAAAGATATAGATGGAAATAATAAGTTAGTTTGAGATTAAGTGGCTAAAAGGTACAGAAAGATGAGCTTAGTTACATTAGACATTGAGGTGGATTAGATGGGTAAGATAGCAATATGCTACACAGTCATGCACCACATTACACTTCAGGTAACAACAGACCACATAACAATGGTAGGTATCATACCGCCGACGTATGTGGTAGACTATGCCATCAAGGTTTGCGCAGGTATAGTCTATGACAGTCAAACAAGGACAAAAATCACCTAAGGATGCATTTCTCAGAACATAATCCCATTGTTAAGCAGCAGGTAACTTACAGAGATAACTTAAAAAAGGACATAAACTTACGTTGACCATATCATCTGACTGTCACAACTACCCTGAAAAAAAGTTATTCTTGTCCTTCTTATATAAATTGAGAAAAGAACTGAGAGGAAAAGGAAGTGAGCCTATGTTTGATGTGAGTGCTTTACATGCACCCTCACATTTAATTCTCATAACTAACCATAATGCATCTTACAGAGGACATAGTCTCAGAAAGGTAAAGTAATTTGCCTAAGATCATACCAAACTGGAGCCAGACAGACCTTCCCTCTGTAGGTCTCTAGCACCACTCAGGCGGTCACGTACCAAATTGTGAGTGGTTTGTCATACTGTGAAAGAGTTGGCACCTACCTGTTAATGCAGCCGAGTGGGCCGAGCCAGCAAGAACACATATGGCTTTATAATTCTTTAGACCTACAAAAAAAAATGTTTTCTTCTGAATTACACTTATAACAAATTGGGCAGGGGGTCTCTCAGCCAGCATCCCGGGCATGGGGAACGACCCTCAGGCAGTGCTGGCAGGTGTGGGTCAGCAGCACTGGCCAAGAAGACACTGGCATGATGGGACACAGTAACACAGTTGGGGTCTGAACAGAGAAGTAAACATACTGTCAAAGAGAAGAAAGTACCGCTATGAAAAGAGAGAAGCAGGAAACAACTAGGTGATTGATACTGGATTGTAATTGGGAATGTCAATGTAAATTCATGACCTCTGGTAGAGATAGACAGAAATGTGTTTATATGCAAAAATACATTTGACTGTATTTCTGTCTGCTGCGTGAGCCTAGAAGCAATAACATCTCCTACATTCAGCTGCTATTGTGTGTAGGACTTAACTACAAAACCAGGCCCCCAGAACACACAGGCAGAACTAAGACTGGAACTGGTCTTCTACCTCCAAGTCCACACTTTTCCCTCCTTCACAACACCACCTTCATGACAAAGCAGGATCCCAGCCAACCCTACTAGAAGTTGGGGTCACCTGTGGCAACAGTGGTTTAGCATGCAGATAAATGCAGTCTCATTCTATGACTCTTTTCTGAAATTTCAGTTGAATTAACCAGTGTCTTCATAAAAAGACACCTTGCTTCTTCAAATGTATTTCCAGCCGCACTCACCCAGAGAGGAGTCCTGGGCCACTACTGGGCAGCTGAGGAGGGCACAGCCTGGGATCTAAGTCCAGAGCCTGTGGCAATGAGGTAAAGAAGGGGGAATGCAAAGTGAAAGACAGGACAGGGAGTTGACAATCCATTCTGGGGTCTCATCAGAAAATTTCCCCAAGTCAACTCTGAATCCAAGCTGTTAATCCAAGTTGATACCAAACAGGTTGTTTAAATCAAATCAACTAAAAAATATTTTTTTAAGCCGGGCATGGTGGCTCATGCCTGTAATCCCAGCACTCAGGAGGCTGAGGCAGGAGGATGGCTGTGAGTTCAAGACCAGCCTGGGCTACATAGTGAGTTCCAGGTCAGTCTGAACTACATAGTGAGACCCTGTCTCAAAAAACCAACAAAACAAAACAAAAAATTTTTTTTATTCCTTCTAGTTATTGGTCCTTTGTTAACATACATAGAAGAATGACACACAGTTCCTTTCCTTAAACAGCTCATAATCTTTGGCCTGTGAGAAATCTTATTAACAATTCACTCTCATGGAATACATCCTGCCATTTGTCTGTATAGAGAAAATTCAGTGGAGGTTAGAAGAAGAAAGAATCTTCACCAAGAGAGGTGCCTCTGAACAAGCCCTCAAAAAACTTCTGGGATTTTCCCAGAGACAGCAGGAAGGAAAGGCACTCAGGCAGAGCTGACAGTGTGCCCGAGGGCATGGATGCATGGAAGAGCAGGGGATACTAAGGAAGGAGTGAACACTTGACTAAGAAGAAAAATGGCTTGGGAAATGTGAGTTTATGAGTGTTTTCAGTGGGATGTGAAACAACTACCTGTCCAGCCTCTGACTCCTCCTTTTCTCAGTCCCTTCCCCAACTCAGCCCAGAGCTTCAGGAAGCTAACTCCAGCTCCAGCTGAAGAAGAGACTCCAGGACTTAGAAGAACCAGGATGTCCCCAACATCCATGTACATGACCCCCAGTACAACGTCCCCTTCCCAACTCTTTCCCCATCCTTCCTACCACCTTCAAATACCCATTTTTGTTCTGAGCTACAGAAGTTAGAAGTCTCCTAACCCAGGTTTCTTACAGCCAACTTTGACTAAACTGGGTCATAAAGTAAGAGAGTGAAAGAATAAGAAAGAAAACACAGGTAAGCACTAGAAAAGAGAGAACAGGGGAGTGAGTGGAGGAAGAGGAAAAAAACCTCAACAGATCAATCAACAGAACACTTATTACCTACTCTTTGTTTTCATATAGAGATTTCCCTACCAGAACACTCCAGGCACTCTCTCTACATCCTTATTCCTCCTCCTGTTGTGAGACAAGGAACTGTGCATAGCAGGCACAATTCACAGTCCTTCTGGGTTCCCCCTTGTGGTGGGCCTGCCCACAGAGAAGCTGCACTCCCATGTTTGCTTGGCTATGCCACAAGCTTACCAGGAACAACACTGCAGTTGCCTGGTGAGGAAGTTCAATCTAGGGTTCAGAATTTATAGGGTCTCTGTTACTACACATTGTTCCTAAGCAGCTAAGTCATATCTTCCAAGCAGCATTGCAGAGCTATCATTGTCATCTCTATCATTTTCACCTGACTTGCATCTCTCAGTAGGTCCCAAACTGACACAAAGAAGGTTACTTTTACTGGGACCACAAAGGTCCCAACAAGACAAACATACCAACCAGTAGAAAATACCAGCAGAGAGATCATGAAAGAGTAAAAGTAAAAACCCATTTACTCATTTTCTGCATGCATGTGTCTCTACTTTCTCAAAAAGAATAAATACAAAACTAAGAAAAAATAATGGACTCACCTGTCACTCTGCTTGGTTCCCTTGCTGTCAAAAACAATGGGAGTGTCTGCCCAGGACATAACCGTCGTCCAGATGACGCCAAACCAGTCCCCCACTGGAACACAATGCCACTCACTTCCCAATGAAGCAAAAGAAAAAACAGAGAAAATGCACATCAGAATAAGATCAGATTGTTCTGCCAAACATGGTGGTGTAATCCCAGCACTCAGGAAGCTAAGGTAAGAAGATCATCATGAATTAGAGGCCAGCCTGGGCTACACAATGAGTTCAAGGCCAGCCTGAACTACACAGAGAGACCCTGTCTCAAAAAAAAAAAAAAGAAAAGAAAAGAAAAGACCAGATTGCTCTTTGAACAGAAAACATGGGGAGCTATGGGAAATTCTCTATTTATCCTCAGTTAATAATATTCAGTTAACATGAATAATATGGAGAAGTTTGATTGCTTCAAGGGGTCCCATGACTAGCTGCAGCTATTACCACAAAGCCAATCACAAATCCAGTCAACAGGACAATCTTAAGACCAATGAAAGATAATTCCAATGTAGTAAAACTTCCTTCAAAAATTTCTAGGATTCTCCTCCAGAGTCATATAACTGAAATGTTTATGAAAGGACAGTCAGACTCCAAAGTTCATTCTTCTCATTTACTACGTGAGAAAACTGAGGCCCCACAGGGAGGATATGATTTGTCTGTCCATGGTCACACAGAGAAGTAATAACAGAAAATGCTAGGACCCGGTGTTTCTAACACCTGAAATAATGTCCTTCCCACTACACCAGGATAAATTCAAAGATATTCAATTGCCAAATGAATGTATATTTATGCTTACAAGATAGCTTAACAGTCACGATTTCAGTAAGATGGTCTCTTATCTCCATGATCACTGAATCTCATGTTCTGAACCTCTCACAGATGCAAAGATAAAATTCTATGTATTTGGTCTACCATCAGATACATGCAACTGAGATCACCAATACAACATCCACGTCTGCTCCTCTAGAAGCATTCTATCACCAGATAAGCCTGCTTTATGAAAATCAAGCTATGAACACTGAGCACAGTATGAGCAAAGCACAATGTTGTCATAAAACAAAACTTACAATCACCTCAACAAATAAAATGCAAAGACAAAAATCTATAGATTAAAAGAAACTTCAGGTATCTGATAAAAGATTACTATCCAGAATAAATAAAGAACTCCTAAATTTAAAAAATAAATAAATAAAAATGACAAAGGACTTGAATACACATTTCTCTAAGAAAATACATGAATTAGCTGCACATGGTGGCACACATAATCTATAATCCCAGCACTCGGGAGGTTGAGGCAGGAGGATCGCTATGAGTTCAAGGCTGGCCTGGGCTACACAGTGAGTTCAAGACCAGCCTGAACTACAAAAGGAGACACTGCCTCAAAAGAAAAAAAAGAAGATACATGAATGACCCAAAGACACATGAAAACATGCTCAACATCACCAATCACTGAGGTAATGCAAATCAAAATTGCAAAGATACACTCACTTGCAAGCTACAGCAAACAAACAAGACAAAAAAACAGAAAATGCCAAGCACTGGTGAGCTCATGGAGGAATTAAAACTCATATGCACTGTTGGCAAGAATGTAAAATGGTACAACTGTTATGGAAAACAGTATGGCAGTTCCTCAAAAAGTTAAAAATAGCATTACCATATGATCCAGGAATTGTGGTCCTGGGTATATATTTCAAAGAAGTAAAAATAGGATCTAGAAGAGTCATTTGTTCATACTAGCATTATTCACTATAGCTAAAACAAGGAAATAAGTGTTTAATGACAGATGAATGGATAAGTAAAATGTGGTATAAGTATACACACAGCACGCCCATGCACGCATGCACACACACACACACACACACAAAGGAATATTATCAGCCTGAGAAAGTACAGAAATGCTGACACTATACTCCATGAGTGAACCATAGGACAGTATAAGTGAAATAAGCCAATCAGAAAAATGACAATACTTTATGAGTCCATTTCTATAAAATTCTTAGAGTAGTCAACACTATAGAGACACAAAGTAGAATGGTGAGGGTAGGGAGATTGGAGAGTTATTGGGTACAGAATGTTAACCTTTAAAGATAAAAAAAAAGTGCCGGGCATGGTGGCACACACCTGTAATCCCAGCACTCAGGAAGCTGAGACAGGAGGATCACTGTGAGTTCGAGACCAGCCTGGGCTACACAGTGAATTCCAGGTCAGACTCAACTACATAGTGAGACGCTGTCTCAAAAAAACCACAAAAAGAGAGAGCCAATGTCCACTGTACAGATCGGTTCAGAAAAAAACAGCTCAAGTGAGGAAGGTGAAGTGAGGAAGGCTGCTCTGAGATCTGCTCTCCCTCTGGCCTGCTTGGGCCCATTTAGGGGGACCAGGTAGCTGAGCCCTCCCCTGCCTGCGCTGCCACCAGCTCCAGCAAGGAAGGGAGCCACGGGGGCACCCCTGAAACACACACACACAACCCCACAACCACACCCCCTGCTCTCAGACCTCCTAATTGTGCCAGTCCTTGGACCCACTCTGCAGAGGCATAGGTGGTCATAAAGGGTATTTTTCTGAGCTCCCAACCTTGAACATCTTTAAAGAAAGGGCGGGAAAACCTGTGGTACAACTGTGTGGAGTTCAACCCTGCAGGAGGTCAGGGAACTCAATCTGGGCCTTACAGCCTGAGGTCATTCTGAATCACGGGGATCTGCCATTGGCTAGCTGAGATCAGGGGACGTAGTTCTGCACATGGCTGTGCACACTGTATATTATGACAGCAGAGATACAGTCTGAAAGAGGCCCTTCAAATTCATTTTTTTTCTTTCTTTAACTCATTATACTCTGCAAATTCTTTCTTTTTTCTGTCCTCTTTCTCCAACTCAGTCTCCTGTTCCACCATATTATCCCTCATCTCCCTTTCTGTTCATGCTCCTGCCCTAACTGAGACTTCTTTTATCATTTTTTCTTTTTTCTTTATGTTCCTTTCTTCTGTCATTGTACCTCACTCATGGGTCAATAGCTTCAAGGTAAAATGAGCCCCTATTACTGTTAAGGGGATATATTCTTGCACTCTGTCTATCCCTTTTAAATTTAATAGTTTCCCAAAAATTGTATGGTCATTCTATGTCCCCTGGCTTCACTAGAAACTTTCTCCAATTCTTTCACTTATTTACTCCTCTCATCCTAACTCTGTCGAAGCCCTCATCCTAAATGGTAAAGATGCTATATTGAAAAGTGTATTCACTGCAAACATATTTTGGGCTGCTTCTTGATTTTAATTTAATTCACATGGTTTAAAGGTGATAGATTAATGACTACCACAAGTGGTCAATTTGCTAATTGTGCTAATAGTTGTGATCCTATTGTGTTGGCAATTGTATCAATTGGGATAAAGGACTGTGATTGATTTAATGAACTGTTTTCTCTAATATTATGAAAATGAGAATGTCTATGAGTCATTAGAGAATCCAAAGCTAAAGTGCAACTATATCAGGAAGATTTAATAACCCAGAAATTAAATCAAGGACAACCCAACAACAAAAATGAAAATGAGAAAACATTTAAGCAAGACACAAAGACAGCCTTCCAGTTCACCAATGGCAAAGAGTAGGGAGAAGAAGGATGAAAAGTCTGATAGTGAACCAGCAGGACATCCTGAACCCATAACACAGGAAGTAACAAAACAGATCAGGCTCTAGAAAAATTCAAAACAGAAATAATTTTCCAGACAACCATAGAGATGATGAGTAAAATGGAAGTCATGATTCAAGACTCTAGAACAGAAACTGAAAAAAAAAAAATAGATGAGCTCAGGACCATAATAGAAGCCATGAAGGCCCAGCATAAGAAAGAAATGGAAACAATGCCCAAAAGAGGAAAGAAATGGAATCCATAAAACAAATTCAAACAGATGTCCAGGACATTAAAAACTCTACTGAAAGTGTACGCAACACAATAAAAGATTGCGAAGATAGAATCTCAGAAATAGAAGATAGGATTGCAGTCAGTGACCAGGAAAAGAGAGTTCTCTTAAAAACAGTAAGGGATCATGAGAAATCAATCCAACTCCTAGATGATGCAAAGAAGAATAACATAAGACTGATAGGAATCCGTGAAGTAGCAGGAGAAAATACAAATGACTTAAAAAAGCTGTTCACAGAATTAATGACAGAAAACTTCCCAAACAGAAGGGAAGAATAAGACATACAGATAAGTGAGGCATATAAGATGCTAACTAACCATGATCAAAAAAACTCTACACCTAGACTTATAATAAGCAAGATCCCAGAAACCCAAAAGAAGAACAAAATACTACAAACAGTAAGAGAAAAAAAACAAATCACATGCAAAGGAAAGCCCATCAGAATCACAGCAGACTTTTCAACACAAACCCTCAGGTCAAAGAGAGCCTGGAGTGAGGTATTTCAAGTCCTAAAAGAAAACAACCTTCAACCTAGACTGATGTATCCTGCAAAACTCTCTTTCAAAATGGATGGGGAAGTAAGATACTTCCATGACAAAGAACACCAGAGAGTCTTCGTGAACACCAAACCAGCACTACAAGGAATTCTAAACAATATCCTAGAAAAAGACAATGACGGTCACAACACCATGAAGCCCAACAGACCAAATCAGATAGGCAAGGCAAGAAACTGAAAGGAGAGGGGGAAAAATTAAAAAGAGTCAACAAAAGAACAATAACATGACAATAATATGTCAGTATATATCAATTATAACCATCAATGTCAATGGCCTCAATTCACCAATCAAGAGAAACAGAATGGCAGAATGGATTAAGAAGCAAAATCCAAAAATATGTTATATAGGAGAAACACACCTCAGGAGCCCAGAAAAAAGCAGGGGTAGCAATCTTATTTGCAGACAAAGTAATTTTCAAACCGAAACTGATCAAGAGAGACAAAGAAGGCCACTATATCCATGTAAAAGGAACAATTCAAGAGGAAGAGATGACAATCATAAACATATAGGCACCAAATATTAATGCCCCTAACTAAATAAAACAAATATTAAGGAACATGAAAAACCAAATAAGCACTAATACAATTGTAGTGGGGGATCTAAATACCCCA